GCATTTAGTAACTTACCACCTATTCCATATACTTGCAACATCTGCCACACTGCTTCCCCTTCTACTCTATCATATGCCTTTTCTAAATCCAAATATGCAATGAAAACTTCCCTACCTTTATCTAAATACTGTTCACATATATGCTTCAATGTAAACACTTGATCAACACATCCCCTACCCAATCTAAAACAACCTTGCTCATCTGCAATCCTACATTCTGTCTTACCTCTAATTCTTTCAATAATAACCCTACCGTACACTTTTCCTGGTATACTCATTAAACTTTTTTTTTTTTTTCCAACAAGTCGGCCGTCTCCCACCGAGGCAGGGTGACCCAAAAAAGAAAGAAAATCCCCAAAAAGAAAATACTTTCATCATTCAACACTTTCACCACACTCGCACATTATCACTGTTTTTGCAGAGGTGCTCAGAATACAACAGTCTAGAAGCATACACATATAAAGATACACAACATATCCCTCCAAACTGCCAATATCCCAAACCCCTCCTTTAAAGTGCAGGCATTGTACTTCCCATTTCCAGGACTCAAGTCCGACTATATGAAAATAAACTTATTCCTCAATAATTTTTACAATTTCTTTTGTCACCCTTCCATTTATATAAAGGAACTATACATGCTCTCTGCCAATCCCTAAGTACCTTCCCCTCTTTCATACATTTCTTAAACAAAAATACCAACCACTAACAGTATATCCCCCTTGCTTTTAACATTTCTGTCATGATCCCATCAGTTCCAGCTGCTTTACCCCCTTTCATTCTACATAATGCCTCAGGCACCTCCCCCACACTCACATCCTGTTCTTCTTCACTCTTAAAAGATAGTATACCTCCCTGGCCAGTGCATGAAATTACCTCTTCCCTTTCTTTGTCAACATTTAAAAGTTCCTCAAAATATTCTCGCCATCTACCCAAAACCTCCATCTCCCAATCTACTAACTCCCCTACTCTGTTTTAACTGACAAATTTATTCGTTCTCTAGGCTTTCTTAACTTGTTTAACTCACTCCAAAAATTTTTCTTATTTTCATTAAAATTTCTTGACAGTGCCTCTCCCAATATCATCTGCTCTCCTTTTGCACTCTCTCACCACTCTCTTTACCTTTCTTTTACTCTCCATATACTCTACACTTCTTGTAACACTTCTGCTTTGTAAAAACCTCTCATAAGCTAACTTTTTCTCTTTTATCACACCCTTTACTTCATCATACCACCAATCACTCCTCTTTCCTCCTGCCCCCACCCTCCTATAATCACAAGCTTCTGCCCCACATTCTAATACTGCATTTTTAATACTATTCCAACCCTCATCAACTCCCCCCCCCCCACTACTCATACTTGCACCAGCCCACCTCCCTTAGTTTATACACTTTCACCTCCTCTTGCTTGTTGTTGCCATTTTCCTCTTTTCCCATCGACCTCTTGCTCTAACTGTAGCTACAACTAAATAATGATCTGATATATCAGTTGCCCCTCTATAAACATGTACATCCTGGAGCCTATCCATCAACCTTTTATCCACCAATACATAATCTAACAAACTAGTACTTTCATTACGTGCTATATCATACCTTATATATTTATTTATCCTCTTCTTCATAAAATATGTATTACTTATTACCAAACCTCTTTCTACACATAACTCAATTAAAGGATCCCCATTTTCATTTACCCCTGGCATCCCAAATTTACCTACTACTCCCTCCACAACATTTTTGCCCACTTTAACATTGAAATCCCCAACCACCATTACTCTCACACTTGGTTCAAAACTCCCCATGCATTCACTCAACATTTCCCAAAATCTCTCTCTCTCCTCTACACTTCTCTCTTCTCCAGGTGCATATACACTTACTATAACCCACTTTTCACATCCAACCTTTATTTTACTCCACATAATCCCTGAATTAATACATTTAATCCTCACCACAGATACCTCAATGTACTACTCACCTTTTTCATCAATTATATGGTTAACCTTGTCCTTCATAAACTTATCTCTTGATGCTTTAAATATTTTTTCTGCAACTGACAAAGCCTCTTGTAGATATGCCACAACAAAAGATCTCATTTTACTACATGTCTTTTTGACCATCGGTCAGCTCACAACCATACTCCAATATAGAGTAAAATCCTACACACAACTTTGCACCAACTGCTTACAGTGTTTGCCTAGTTTTTAATCACAATTCTCAACTGAACTCTTTGTTCAAGACTTTCCAGCATTATCAAAATGTAAAATAAGTATTTACTCCAAAAATAAAGGTTCTAAAATTTATTGTAAAAACATGATTTTAAACAACTTTAGAAAAAATTAGGATCTGAACAAGACAAAACATTTCTAAAACTAGTCTTTAGCCTCAGTACTTGAATGATTAGAGCACTGGCCTAGTAATTTTACAACTGGTTTGTCCTATGTTCAAATCCTGTCTGCTTCCTGAGTTGTTCTAAAATTTATAGAGAGAACAGTACATCATTTGCAATGAATATATACCCAAGAGCCATAACACCTGTACTAAGGCACTCCCTATGAGCATAAAAAAAGAGCCTATGATGACATTCTGTGCAATACATGCACATGGCAGAACCAAAATGCTTCCCAAGACATGCAATGGTAGGTTGATCAAATTTCCCACACCCTAAATTCTTGCATGACACCACATACCCTTGTCAGTCAAGAACCATTCACTAGTTATATCCCTAAATAAAAATAAACTCTCATAGTAACACAACTATGCAATAGATGGTCACTACAACAATATCAATGACAACAACATTTTTAATCAACTATTTCCCCTAAAGAATGCCTCAGCATATGAGAAATGCTTGTGTCCAGCACCCCATCACCTTGAGGAAATTTTAGAGTGCCAAAAATCAAGTGAAGTGCAATGAGAGCTTGTCCCCCTAATTATAGTTCATAGTTTACCTGGAAGGCTCTAGTTGTGCACATAAACACCTATACTTTTAAATTGTGCTCAATTAATTATATGGAATTCACAAATAATACTTACCATTAAAAGTTAGACATAATTGCAAAGATGCAAAACATACTATATATACATATTTTACACTATACACAAGACAAAATTACAATAAGAATTTTAATTGGGCACAATTTGGGACTATAGATAAAATCCCAAGTGCAGAAGCTTAGGTTAAGGTTTGTTAGCCTCCACATGACAACCACGCCCACCTCACCAACGCGTCTAGCAAAAATTATTTAAACAAAAACAGATGTAATGAAGTTTATCAACGTACAGATAAAAATGTGATAAAGTACAAGTGCTACACAAAAACTATCACTGAACTTTAAAAATATAGATTAATAATGTGCACTTCAAACTCATTAACCAAAATCTACATCTCACTGATACACAGCTCTACCTATTAAGTATTCATCCTGCTATAATTAATCAACAATACTGTGCACTTCATAATATGTATTGAGAATTACTTTTAATGTATCCTCCCAAAGGCAACCAAATTACCAACTAGTCTCTACACTACAAAACTTCTCCATCAAAATAAAAGCCTGAAGATAATTGATATATTTCCCATACTATTATTGATAAAGCACCATCTAGGTATTTTAAACCAGGGAATGTGGGAAAAGCCCAAAGGACTCCTGCAATACATTCACCATACCCAGACACAAGCCTAAACACTCCACTCCCCTATTTGCCTCCAGCCACCTTCTACTCATATGCTTATTCAGAATTGGGCATTCAACAGAAGCAATAATTAAGCCCTTGATACACACAATTAACACAAATTGTGAAGCTAAACAGCAACCAAAACATGTTAGTGAGAAAAGTTCGGGCATACATTCAGCTAAATCTGGAACCGCATTCATAGCAAGAAATATTCATCTAACCTAACAAAGATATTTTTATCAAGTGAAAGCAGGCATTTTAGCAACGATCAAAGAGACTAATCGTATTAAAAAATAAGGACTTCACTACCTACAAAGGGCTTAGAAAATGCCATCCAAAGATGCAGTATCCTGAGATTATGGCACAGAAAGCATGATACAAGGCAAGTTTGGAAGCTCTATATTTTCAACATTACTGAAACCTTATTCTCACTATAGGGGGAAGAACCATCTAAGGGTTACTACTTCTATATACAACAAGTTTTGCTTTTTATTTATTTATTTTTAAAGTCGAGGGAAGCCAGGGAGGGAAATACTGTGCTGCAAAGGATACTGATTGCAAACATTTAAGTTCCTTGGGAAAACTGCCCATATAACTGCAAGTGAGGATATATACAATTTTGAATAAAATGAACTAAAACAACCATTACTTTTCAGCCAATGCACCTGGTTTTCGTTAAAGAATTCTTGAAGGCTTCTTGCAAAAATTCTTAAGTGTAAATTATATACTTCAATGCAAGTACAACTGAAATTGGATACTGTGATGATAAATGTTTAACCCTACTCTGAATATTGTTAATAATGGTAATTAGTCACTTTAAAATATATAAAATACCTCACTAACATATTATTGGCAAACCGTTGTATTTACCTTGTCTAACAATTCAGTCTCATCTGAACAAAATATCAAAAGTTAAATAAAGTCATTCTTTGTTCCATCTTACTGTCCTCATCTTAAGTGCACATTTATTAGAAATTGCATAGCAATGGAAAAAAAGAATTGCTACAAAGCATCTGAGAAAATTGTTAATCTTTAGTAAGAAACCAAGAAAGCATATATTTACATAAAATGAAGATAAATTCTATTTCCCTTCCTTTTTTCATGTTAGTGAATAAGGGTGTAAACTGAAAAGCAGGTCAATCAATCCAGCTTTACAGTTGGTTAGCAATCAGCAACTACATACTGCCAGGCAGCTGATGGACTAGCTGGTTAGTCTGGCAACAGTTGTGTTAATAAAAATGTGAGTTAATTTGGGAATATGGTGCACCATCCAAGCTAGCGAGCAGGTGGCAACGTGAGTGGTGGAAGGCAAAGGGGAGGAGCCGCCTACCCGTCCACGACGCGACTTGACGGTAGAAGACGCGTTGTTGGTGGCGTTGTTGTTGGTAGTGGTGGAGGGAGCATTCTGCCCCGGAAGCTGAAGGAGAAGGGTTGGGGTGGTGGAGGATGTTGCATTGGTACTAGTGACTGAGATGGTGGCAGTGTCATTGGGTGATGGTACTATGTGCATTGATGATGGTGTTAATGGATGGTGATTATTATTAGGTATACCTAAATCTGATTGATGTAAAGATGATGATGATGGTGATGGTGATAGTGATGGTGTGTTAGACTGATGGTGATATGGAAGTGCATGATGTTGTGGTTGTGGTGAATAGTGTGATTGATGATAATGATGTGAAGGATGGTGATGATGTGGTGGCACTGGAGGTGCAATATATGGAGAATGTTGTATAAGGGACTGTGATGGTGTTTGATATGGAAGTTGGGTTTGATGAAATAAATGATGATGGAGGGAGTTGGTGGAGGATGACTGGGACTGGGATGACTGACTGACCCCGGCTGATATGACTGACTTCTCTGATGTGATGCTGTTGCTCTTGCTGCTATCACCTCCAGCTGGGTCCTCCTCTGTGGAGTCTGTGAGTTAGTAAAGGTGTCACATTAATTTACCTCGTACCTAAATGTTGCATAATTTAGCACAAATACTTTTTTTTTAAATCTAACCAGATTTTATAAACAGACTCCAATTTTCTGATGTTTGATAAACTTAGATTTATGCCCCATAACTATCATTTAATTTTTAAGTACCTAGTGAAAATAATTATAAAAAAGATATAACTTATTACATATGATATTTTGAATATATAGTGCAAGAATTAAGTAGTACATGCATAATGGAATGCAAATAAAGTACAGTACATCTAATAATAATAAATATGAACAAGAAAAAACAAATGAAATTTAGCTACTTTAGCCTACAAACACTTTAAACAATTTCAAGTTAAATTTGAACCATTACCACTTGCTAATGGTAACATACTTTCCTTGACCTCAATACCTTGCATGCATACCTCACTCTTACCAAGTTCTTCATCTCTTCAATTTAATCTTCTTTTTATGTAAGTCATTTATGACTTTTCTTTCCTCATACACTTATAATTTTCTTCACTGTTCTACTGATATATATATAAATACCATGCCACTGTATTTATTCAAATTACAACTGAGTGTAAAAGCAACTAGTAAATTTTCAAAAGGCTGACATCACTAATGATTAGTATACAAGTTAATGGTATCCGCATAAAATGTGTATTAAAAAAATTATATGCACAGAATTTACTACAACAATCACATAGGGAGGGTCTTACACAATCTTTTTTTTTTTTTTTTTTAACTTTTCCAACAGATTTTGCTGAAGATTTCTTAAATTTATCAGTAATGCTGAGCTATCTCAAGAATTTCATTCTAACAGAAGGAATAGTTCCAGAAAATTTTCTTTTAAGTTTTATAAAGTAGTGTATCTTCCTAACCTATGTACATGTTTCCATGAAACCAAAATGCTAATCTACAGCTTACTTGACAGTATTTTGTTGCAGGATGCTATACTCACAAACTGGCTAAATAGTAACAGAAAATTACTGAAAATACATCATTACCAAGGTATGAATGTTCTTGCTCCCAATTAATTTATTATTGTGTAACATATCGGTAGTTTATAGTTTATGCAGAAATAATTTACCAATACAATGGCCTCAAGTAAATGTACGCCTACACTCTGGAGGAGGAGTGGGGATATCTGCAGACTGGAGGGTTCATTTGAACTGTATCATTTGCACACCTCTAGCAAGACAGTAAAAGATTGAATGATGGTGAAAGTGGTTCTTTTTTGAGTCACTCTACCTTGGTGGGAGACAGCCGGTGTATTAAAAAAAAAAAAAGTTGTTCACACACGGGAAGTAAAGAGACTATCTACTAAGACTCCAGATGAAAGATACAACAATTTTTTTTATTCTGCTTACTGACTGAGTTTTGGCTGTTCTGGATTTAAATTTGAATCCTTTATATTGTAGGCAGTTACAATAAACTTTTGTGCATAGTAACAGCACAGTCAAGTCCCTCTACTGCCAAACTCATTAACAAGAAAAGTCACTCAACAGAAATTACCACCTTAGCATGTTTAAAATGAATCACTGAATCTCTTACAGACACACCCATTAAAAAATGAAATTAAATTTTTACACAAGATGAACTCAATCCCTGTTATACTAAGTAACGAGGTATGAAGAACTAATTTCTGCTCGATCTGGAACATGCCATGCCTACCCTTACCTATTACTCAACTTGAATACACCCAGTTTGTTACACTAAGTCCCTATTTTCCTCTGGTCTAATGACCGTCACAACAGTAAGGTTACACGCAGGAATCAGCTCGGCCCATACCCCCCCAATACTGGTTGGCATCTTTAACTCATTCACTGTCTCCCACAAAGATCTACGTTACTGACACCAATGTCACTCACAAAGATCAATGTTTTAAGCCCAGTACCCTCAAATATTCTGTGAGAGGTCAATTTTGGTCTAGACATGAGAGACTGGGTGTGTGGTGAGTGCAGAGAAAAAAATCCTGCACACACACAGCAAATGATAGGGAAAGCAAACCTCTGCCTTTGTATTTAGTTTAAAATAGTAATCCTGAGATGTTTTCTAGTGTACTTTTTATGGTTTCATTCGCTATTTCTTAATATCAACTGATAAAATGGAAAACACACCAGTGAAACATGATTTTGGTTACCTTCACACCAGAAATACAGTGGAACCTCGGCTTACAAATGCCCCACCATGCAAATTTTTCAGGATACGAACCGTTATTTGGTCGATTTTTTGTTTCTGGATATGAAGGAAATTTCAGGATGCGAACTTCCCCCTCAAGGGAGGTTCCTTAACCCTTTGACTGTCACAACCCCAAATACTGAAGTTTCTCCTGGTGTCGAAAATTTTTTTGGGAAAAAAAAAAATTCTTTATGCAATGATAGATAATCTTTTCCCAATGGTAATGACACCAAAAGTATGAAATTTGATTGAAAACTAATGGAATTACACTCCCGCGAAATTAGTGATCTCAGCGATATATACGCATAGGCGATTTTGCCGACTGAGCCCTATTTACGGCCAATTCCATTGTTCCAGTCAACCAAACTCATAGCTATTTCTTTAGAACAACATTTTTTCTATCGACTGAGTACAGTGGACCCCCGGTTAACGATATTTTTTCACTCCAGAAGTATGTTCAGGTGCCAGTACAGTGGACCCCCGGTTAACGATATTTTTTCACTCCAGAAGTATGTTCAGGTGCCAGTACTGACCGAATTTGTTCCCATAAGGAATATTGTGAAGTAGATTAGTCCATTTCAGACCCCCAAACATACACGTGCAAACGCACTTACATAAATACACTTACATAATTGGTCGCATTCGGAGGTGATCATTATGCGGGGGTCCACTGTACTGACCGAATTTGTTCCCATAAGAAATATTGTGAAGTAGATTAGTCCATTTCAGACCCCCAAACATACACGTACAAACGCACTTACATAAATACACTTACATAATTGGTCACATTCGGAGGTAATCGTTATGCGGGGGTCCACTGTACAAGAAACCACCAATTTACTGATTTCAACTACCCAATAAAGTGGTCAGAAATTGGCTATTTGGCCAATTTCACAAAAATTAAAAAAGGTTGCCAATTTCAAAATAGGGTCCAGAATAAACAATTCGGACATTTTTGGCACTAAAATAACATATCCTCTGTTCATTAGTCACGTCTCCAGGCCCCTCTTATATTACTCTTGCTTTCTATTTTTATTTTTTATTCACACAAAAAAAATAGAAGATTTACTGTTATGCAGACAACTGCATTATTGTAAAAATGGCAGTATAAATACAGTGGTCCCTCGTTTATCGTAATTAATCCGTTCCTGGAGGTGTCACTATTATCGAAATCTACGATTTTCGAATCAATTTTCCCCATAAGAAATAATGTAAATACAATTAATCCGTTCCTGACACCCAGAAGTATTAAAACAAAAATTTTTTTTACATGAAATATAGATGTAGTACATAAACAATACAATGGGACATGATGAATGAAACATTAACAGCATAACACTTACCTTTATTGGCAATTCTTCTTAGTGTATGGAAGACTGGAGGAGAGAGAGAGATTGGATTATTTACAGTTTAGAAGAGGAATCCCATTCCATCAACACCTCAGGTACCAATTGCTTTTCTGGGGTTACTTCTCTTCTCTGTTTCTTAATGCCACTAGGACCAGCTTGAGAGTCACTGGAGTCCTGTCTCACAAAATAACTGTCATTAGAGCTCTGTTTCTGGTGTCTCTTTAACACTTCCCTAAAGTGGGCCAAGACTTTGTCACTGTACATGTTGCCAACATGGCTTGCAACAGCCTTGTCAGGGTGATGTTTCTCCATAAATCTTTCCATCTTACCCCACATTTCAAAAATCTCCTTAATTTCTGAAGAAGGCAACTTCTTCCATCTCTCTTCCTCCTCCTCTGCAGCAAGATTCTGAGCTGCGATCTGTTGCTCTTCCTGCTGAAGCTCTTGCAGCTCCTCAGTGGTGAGTTCTTCACTGTGGTCTTCCACCAACTCTTCCACATCCTCCAAACTCACATCCAACCCCATGGAACTCCCAATAGATTTAACAACAGACATAGGCTCATCAGGGTCAGCCCCAAACCCTTCAAAATCCCTCTTGTCAACACAATCTGGCCACAATTTTCTCCAAGCAGAGTTCAAAGTCCTGGTAGTCACTCCCTCCCAAGCCGTAACTATTAGGGTTATGCAATGGAGGATGCTGAAGTGTTCTCTCCAAAAATCTCTTACGGTCAAGTGAGTGTCTGAGGTCACATTCAAGCACCTTTGAAACATTGCTTTGGTGTAGTTTTTTTTTAAAGTTTGCAATGACCTGCTGGTCCATGGGCTGGAGGAGAGGAGTGGTATTCAGAGGCAAGAACTTTACTGTGATGAACCCAAACTCCTCAAAAATTAGGTCTTCCAAGTTTGGAGGATGAGCAGGTGCATTGTCCATTACTAGGAGGCACTTGAGATCCAATTTCTTTTCCAGGGGGTAATTCTTTCTTCACACTAGGGCCAAACGCTTCATTGAACCACTCGATGAAAATTTCCCTCATGACCCATGCCTTACTATTAGATTTCCAAAACACACAATTTACTCTTCATAACATTATTTTTCTGAATACAGTGGTCCCTCGTTGTTCGTAATTAATCCATTCCTGGAGCCGTTACTATAAACGAAATTTACGATTTACGAATCAATTTTCCCCATAAGAAATAATGTAAATACAATTAATCTGTTCCTGACACCCAGAAGTATTAAAACAAAAAAATTTTTAACATGAAATATGCATGTAGTACATAAACAATACAATGGGAAATGATGAATGAAACATTAACAGCATAACACTTACCTTTATTGGAGATTCTTCATAGTGTATGGGAGACTGGAGGAGGAGGAGAGAGTGGACTGTTTATAGTTTGGAAGGGGAATCCTTCCATCAACACCTCAGGTACCATTTGCTTTTCTGGGGTTGCTTC